CGACCATCACCCAGTTTTCAGCTTCAGTACCCTTCTCTCCTGTTAGGGCGTCGCTTTGATCAGTTTCCACCATGTTGACCTCTCCAATGCATGCAGGCTCGGAGTAGTTGGTGTCTGCGACGTCCAAGGGATCTTCGTCCACTTTCATCTTCACCTTATCAGCAAACTTTAGTCTGCCATCTTTGATCGCGTTTTGAATTAGGTCCCTGAAAAGAAAACATTGTGAGGTTTTGTGGCCTAGGAAACTATGATATTTGCAAAATCCTCTCTTCTTTCTCTGATCCAAAGGAGGTATTTTGACATTTGATGGCACAATTAGTTGGCCATCTTTGACAAGTAAGTCAAAAATCTCGTCACATTTAGTGACATCGAAGGTATAAACCTTCTTTGGAAATTTGTCAATTTTCTCATTTTCAACAATGTCTTTCCCTTTTGTGGGAACTAACAATTTGCAGGAATAAGGCGGGGCCTGTTTTAATTCAGCGAGGTCGATTTCGACCTCTTCGAATTCGAATTCAGGATATTCTTCTGCTTCCTCAGTCCCAACATAGGAAATCCTTTCTTTCTTGCTATTCTTAAAGACTCTGGCTTTTTCGGCCTTTAGTCTTTCGACCTGTCGAACCCTATCGGCTAACTGAGCCATATCCCTCAAATATTGAGTGTCTAGTTTCTTTCGAATAGAATAATCCAAGCCACCAGCGGCCATTTCGACTAACTCATGTTCAGGCACTACTGTGTAACATCTGGATTTCAAAAGCCTAAATCTATTCAGATAATCATCTATGGGTTCGGTGAACTTTCTCTTAACACTGGCCAATTCCTTCAAACTTATTTTCGACTGTCCCATGTAAAATTGTTCATGGAATAATCTCTCTAAGAGAGCCCAAGTGTCAATGGACCCAGGAGGCAAAGTGGTAAACCATGTGAAGGCGTTTTTAGTCAAGGAACTTGGGAAGTATTTGATCCTGAGATCTTCATTATTGGCTATATCTCCCGCTTCGGTTAGATATCTCGCTATGTGTTCGACTGTTGACTCATTGGTATCCCCAGCGAACTTTGTAAATTTAGGGACTTTATATCCCCTTGGTAAATCAGTATGCATTATGCAATCCAATATAGGAGAAGCATAATTTGGCCTTCTCATTCCTGTGTTGAGGCCATTCTGGGCCATGACTCTCTGTATCATGGTGGTTAGGTTGTTTTCTGCCAAGATGTCATCGTTTCGAATTCTATGAACGACAGCATCGGCATCTTGATTTCGACCAACCAAGACAACTCCCCTAGGTTGTTCTTCTCGAAACTCTGGGGCTTCTAGCCTTTCGACCCTTGCCCCTGGTTCCATAATTTCTCTTTGTGGGCCCGGGATTATTGGGGCTTCTAACCTTGGTGCCCTGGCCCCTAAGTTAACTTCTTCTCTGGGTGGTCTATAAATTGGGTCGTTAGCAATTTGTTCTATAACAGGCATGTTTGCTCGAAATCCCGCCTGATTCTGCCTACGCCTTTCTGGGGGAGCAAAGAAATCTGCTATTCGACTCATATTGTCAGCGTTTTCTCTGTTTGTCACAGTCACATTTTGCACTATTGGGGCAAATATCTCCTGCATGGTTTGTGCTAACACCCCTATCATATTATGGTTACTGTCATCCATCAATTGCCTAAAAGCCAACTGGTTGTCTGTGGTTAAGATAGGCATTGTGCTATAACCCACTGACCCTTGGTTATTTGTCATAAACTGATTCGCCCCAGACCCAGACCCTAGTTGTGGGGATGAATTCGATGTGGAATTGTGTAAACCTGCCATAAAAGATGTTGGCATTCCATAAGAGGAATTTCTGGTTCTATTCCCATCGAAACCGGGTGGTCTAGTTAATGGAGTGGCGAAATGGGATTGTGTCCCTGATGGTGGAACGAATCCCCCAGGGTAACCAATGGTTCCAGTATTTCCTAAGATCGAACTATTAGTTGATATGCCACTTACTCCATTGGTGGCTATGTTACTGGTTGAAGATGCAACAGACTGTGCATTCGAAGGGATTACATTAGATGTTCCGATCGAAGTGGATGCATTAGTGCCTGTTGTATGTGGGCCATTTTGTTCCCCTGGTTGATTGTCAGAATTAGACATTTTGTCCAAACGTTTTCTTCTGGATGAAGGTTGGTTGCTGTTGGTTATTTTACCACTTCTCAGGTTCATAAAACAGCAAACTTCTTAGGTTCCAACATTTTTATAATGGTTATGTCTCAACAATCTTTATTTCTAATATCCAATTATTGGTCCCACTAGGTGTGCCAATTTGTTTCCAGTGATTTCTGGTAAACAACCGCTAGTCTTCCAAACTATCGAATAATCTTTCTGACTGTTATTCAATTCCTCTGGTAACTCACAGGATCGACTAGATTGATCCTAGGATTCCTTGGACATTAAGGTTACTCTCACGATCGAACAGATATTCATGGTTGATATTTGAGTGTTGTATATGCGTTTGGCTTATTTCGATTTCTCTCTCAAAAAGTCTAAAGATGTAATCAAAATGTGCGTGTACGAAACTAAGTTGCATGAATAAATGTTAATTGTAAAGACATGTAAAATTGCATAAAAGTCAAGTAAATGGTTTCGAATTATAAAACAGTTAATGTAAAGGATTTCTGGAACGTAAAAGGTTTGAAATATGAAGAAAGCGTTTAATGCAAGAAATCTGTAAATGACTTTAAGTAAAAATATGCGTTCGAAGGATAAGACTTGAAGGTAAAGGTATGGAAAATATGACAGTTTTCTGAGATGTAAAGTGCTTGAAATGTGAAGAAAGCATTAAAATGTAAAACTTTGAAGAAGAGATTTCGAAGTGAAAAGACTGTAAATGAGAAAACTTGTAAATGTTATTTGACAAAAAGATAAAGGAAAGTGCTGGAAATGGTAAAAGGTTTTCATTAAATCAGAAATACATGGTGTTATCATACGTACATTTCTCTTGCATTCGTTTCCCTTGCCATGTGGTAGTTTAAATGTTACTGAGTATTTAGTACAATAGATATGACACCCGAAATCCTAATACTAAGACTTCTATTTATACTAATTCGACCATAACGGTCTTGCTATAGGATTATGCCACGTTCAGAACATGCAAAACAATGCCTCTTTCTTCTTTCCACGTGTCCCCAAATGCTCCAGCACATAACTTTCAAACTTCGAATGTCCCGCTTCCATTTGAATTTCAAATGCTTTGGTACTTCTCCGTTTCGAACGCACTTCCCAGACACAGCCTTGTTGTTATTTCGAGACTTCTTTAGATATGTTCCCATAATTGCCACTCGAAGCTCCAAGCTTTGACATGCTTATTCGAAACACTGCTTCTGCTACTTCGAAACATGACGATTTACCTCATTTCGATCGAAACGTTTAATTCATTTGGCTTCTAATAACATTATCAAAATCTTCAGCCAACAGTTGCATATGGCTCGCTTGACACTGCGTGCGAAATAAGGATTCCCTGTTACGATTCTGCACTTGTTCAGTCTCAATTTCTCATGCGATTTTATATCAGTACAATCTCAAACTCATAATTCAACATATTTTTATCATACAACAACAACACATCATAGTATGCATTACATACATCAAATCATGGTATTATCAACATCAATTATTCACTAATTTCACAATAGATTCATCATATTATCAATTCATCACAAAACCCCAAACAACCTACATACATCTAAACCACATATCAATTATAATAATAATGATCACCCCCCTTACCTTAGATTTTCCTAGCAAGTGATCTTCCTCTTTGTGTTCTACCGCAAATTCCTCTGTTTCCTCGTGTCCTAGCTCTGCTACACTCTTCTAATTCTTTCACGATCGTACACAATGAAACACTTTTCTCTTTTTCCTTGTTTAACCCTTAGACCTCTGATGTGAACTTCCCATCATACCCTCACTTAGTCTTTCACCAATTACAACCTTGCCCTCAATATTTCTACATCAATATCTTTTTTATTTTATTAATGATAATTCTAATTAATAATTCTAAATAATTAAACTAAATTATCTAAATTATTAAAATACTCAATATTCTCTTAATTCATACTATCCCACAACACAACATATACAACACACCATATTCAACAATACATCTCATAATCAACAATAGTTCACACAATAAATCAATTAAATAAATATTCTAATTATTAGAGTGTTACAATTTTCATGTATCAATTTGAATTTGCACAATATTGCACCACATACAATAAATCAATTAAATAAATATTCTAATTATTAGAGTGTTACAATTTTCATGTATCAATTTGAATTTGCACAATATTGCACCACATTATATCTAATATTTTGAAATGATATAATGTGTGGCTGGATCTCTCAAGTTTCCTTCTAATATTTGGGTAAAACATCACCATCGGCCAATTATTGAAATCTTATTCTATTGGTTGTCCACCTTTGCATCCTTGTTCTTTGAAATCAACTTCGTCTTTCCACATAAACACTACGTCTGTCTATGTCAATTGGACCATGATTTAAGTGACTTTTGACTTTGATTAATATTGCTAACGCGTGGCCCTGTTTTATGAGTTAAAAGATCAATTTGATCTTTTTAAAACATAAGAAATCAAATTGAATCATGAGATAAAGTTAAAAGACTAAAAAAAATATTTTGCATTTTTTTTTTGGAGAACTTTGTTTTCAAGCTATGACCACAATGATAAAGAGGTGTTATGCCTCATATTAAGCTAAATAGATCAACCAATCTTTCAAACATATCTTCTGAATAATTGCAAGCCAAACACCTGGCTAACTAATAATAATTTAGTGCATCTTTAACAGTTATCAACAAATTAGCAGTGTCAAAAGAAATACACAATCTGTAAATGGTGTTAAAGTTAAAACAATCACCAAAACCATGCATACTAGCAATGGACAAACTAAAATATGCATCTTTTAAACACTTAACAAAACTAAAAAGGGGTATTCTAACATAGCTTTCTTTTTACCAACGACTCTTATCCTTTGACTCACTCCATTGAGACTGTAATGAGTTATTGGAATTAGAAGTAACATTCTTCCCAGAATACACACTATTAGAATTCTGTCCTCGTCCTCGACCTCGTCCTTGACCATAAGGCACATTATTCGAACATTGATGATGATAATAAGATCCTCCGTGATAATTAGATTGTTGTTTGTGAAAAGGAGAAAACGATGACATTCGATCATTTAGAGTTTCATGATTAATTCTTCCTGGTTTTCCTCTACCTGAACCCCATCCAACACCTCCAGCTTTGTAGATGAATTCAGGAGGTGCATTTTGTGAAGAGCTTCTTCCACCAAACGCAGTTCTATTAGTTGGAAACCTTGAAGTACTAGCCTCTTTGTTTGAACTTCTCCAATTGTCTTGATTATTTGACCTGAATAGTGAAATTGATCAATCAAAGTTCTAACCACATTAACCTTTAAACACAGTAAAGGAAAAAAGAGAAAATTGATAAACCGCACCTTTCAAAACGATTAGGATATTGTTGATGCTCGTGCCACAGAACCGTTTCATTTATGTCGTTTTCAACAATTGTCTGCAAGCCAAATAACTTACATATTTTAGCAGCTAATCATTTTTCTTAATCAGAAATTTGCTTACCAATTACTAAGCAACAATGATTTTACCTTTTGAGGAAGGTTTACACCAAATAGCAAATGATGACAATGACTTGTACTATTCACAGGTAACTCGTATTTGACACAGCTGCACCATAAAGCAGCGATATTAAAATGTAAAGAAAATGTAGAAAGTTAAATGCAAAACAAATTTTTCAAAATGAAATAAAGATTACAGTAGCATACAAAACAAAATCTTCTTGTTTGTTGTGCTCAACACACTTGTGACAAAGACTTATGATGCCTCCAATGCCATCACTGCTAATAATATGACAATACATAAGAAAAATAAATGTTAACACTAAATTTAGAAACCATTATCCATCAACAAAGACCAACCTTATGGTCGTATCTAACTTGTTTGAACTTAGTGAGCAAATTTTTTCCGCCAACTTAAGACTCTTACTAACAAACAACCTATCAACTTCAACAGAGTTTCTCATTGCTTCATTTTCCTAAAAAAACAGTGTCGAAGAATTAGAGAATATTCTCAAAATACTAAAACTAAATGTTTCTGAAAAAGTAAATAATTTATACAGATAATCCATTTATGAGTTGTCTGGTTTCAGCCAAAAGCCTTCTTTCATCCATATATGGAAGTTTGCATACGCCCTAAATTAAAAAACCAAAAAAAAATTGTCAACGAAAGGGCGAACATATCCACATTCAAACATCGAACATGTCGTGCTACTTAGGTTGAGTGAGATTACCATCCACCTGAAGCGCTTTCCTTCTATGTCAACTTCGAATTCTACATAACCAAAACACAGAATAAAAACAAAACAAGAAATCGAGTTCAATAAACCAAATAAACACTACGAAAAATAAAACTTATAAAAAGCTTACGCTGAGGAAACAAGTCAAATATTTTAGAATGATCATCTAACATCAACTGTGCATAAGCTTCAGGAAGTGCACGAGCACTGCATAGAAGTGTAATCAGATAATATTTTATCAAGGCTAATCGATCATCAATGTCATGTCTGGTATCTGTGTTTCATAGTATTAAATGTGAAAGAAGAAAAGGATAATGTAATAAAGAAAATTACCTCCTTTGAGGAAGAACACTTAAGAGTTGATCAAAAGGCAAGAATGGAACACCTTTCTCAAATTTTACTCTCACTTGACCCATGCCCTTAAAGTCTGAAGCAAATGGACTATAGTGGAATGGATAAAACCTGCATTTAATTTGAACTTCTTGATTCTTATTTTCCACTATAAAATCCATGATTCATAGGAACAAATTTTTTTTTTAACTATAATGTTACTAACCATGTCCATGAAGCAACTCCTGAAAAATAATACTCAAGAACCCACAACAATCCTTCTGTGTACTTCTGCACCTACAGTTTAATTGCAATGTAAGTGTCGTATTCGGTGTATGCATCGGTGCTTCATTAAAGTTGAGAAAGAAAAAAAACAAAACCAAATAAGTAGCTGAGAGGAAAAACTTACTACTTCTTTTCTTTTTATCTCAATGTTGGTGGAACCATCCACAGAAAATTTCTCCTTATAATATCTTTCTTTAAAGCCAACGGTTCCCAATTTTATCTAAAATGAATTGAAGCAACAATTGCAAATCAATCCTATATTAAATGTTAACAAAAACAAACTTTATATCCATCCATTTGAGAAAAAAATTGTATACCTTGTCAGCCAAGAAATCTCCACTCTTAAACAAGTCCCCTTTAGCTTTAATGCATTTCTTCAACTCCTCCTTTAAATCATTTGTGTTTTTCAATATCTAAAAATAAGAATAAAAAGAATTATTAACAATTCAACATCATTAAATTCAAATATTTCATTCTACAGTAAAAGATATTTATCAATCAGTATGCTAAGTTACTAACTTCTTCATCAGACACAGCAAAAACATTATTGGAAGTTGCTGGTTTCGCAATGCGAAGAGCACAATCTGAACTATTTTCATTCTCAATATCGAAGAAATTACACGCGTCATGTTTGTTTTGCTTCTGAAAGAATAAACAAGAATCACATGAATCTACCGATGCATAATTCGCGTGTCTCAATTTTTCAAATAGTATACATGAACTTACTAAGTTTTCATGATCACTAATAAGCCTTCTCAGTTTCTTGGCTCTAATTGCACTTCTTCTATTGAAGATTTTTTCTTCATATGTACCAACCATAAGTATGAATTTTTCAACTCTTGATAGCTTCACAAAAGCACTATGTTTCTCACCAATCTGATTTCATATCAATGCCACATAAAATAAAATGAATCACATAAATAAATAAACAATAAACATGATAGTAACATTGTTCGTGCTACCTTATTTATGTCGACAAGATATCCTCCAAGTTTATGAAACTCTTGCTTGTAAACAGTCATAAGTAAATCAATAGACCCCTAAACAAAACGGAGCAAAACAAATAAACATAAGTAACTACACGTTCAAATTCATTCAAAATTTAAAACTAAGGGAAAAAGTTAATAAATACTTCAAAAATATCCAAAGATGGCAAATGAGGAAGAAAATCATTTCCAGCGAAGAAACAAATGAAGATAAAATCGTCAACAATCCGCTCAAAATCAACGATGAAATTTTTGGGAGGATCTTGTATCTTCATGTCAAGTTCAAGATATTCCCTCAACAACCAAATATGCAAAAGCTGCAAGAAAGTATAAAGATTAAAAATTAGAATCAAATCAACACATCAACTTCAAAGTTATAGACTTAAAATCACATATTATTTTACCTTGAACCTCTTAGAAGCATTTTCTTCAGGCACTACCTATACATGATAGGAATTAGTTATGCACATACCATATCAACAAATTGTATTCAAACTTATCAAAATCAATATCTCAAATTATTTTTCTATGTACTGGATTTCTCATATTAAGCTGTAGAAGATTAAATGTATAGTCTATTGATAACCTCTCTTAAAATTGAAAAATGAGGCTCATGGCTTGACAGTCCAAGCATTATAAGATCAGCATCCTGCATCCAGAAATCAACAAGATTGAGCTCAAATATTTCAAATGTCTAAGGAATTAGTCTACTATGAAAAAAATCGATTTTAGTACCGAGCCATATAAGCAGTGGACAGTGTTGGGATTGTAATCAGAAAGTCCGCGCTGTTTTCTAACGAATGACATAATCTTATGTTCCCCTTCTCCAGGAACATTAGCATCAGATAAAATTACCTAATTAACAAACATTAACAGAAACATTATATAACATGACAATAATATATTTACAAAAGAACAGTGTTATTATGCTACCATAATATCCTTCCATAATGAATCAGAGGATATTCTTGAAGAGATGTAGGCTTTAAGAGCCTTTGAGAGTTGATGCATGAACTCAGTTCCTGGTGTGATTATATTAGAATCCGACACTTCACATTCTTGCTTAGGAACAACTTGTTTTCCTTCCATTTCAAATTGTTTCCTCAGTCTCTTCTCCTCAGCTTCCTGTAAATAAAATTAAAAAAAAAAAAAAAACACCAAGGTTCCATCATTCAACCATGATCATATTCTGAAAAACCATTTTTTGTACTAATATATTAAATGAATAGTTACAAGCATTTCATCATCTTTAGCAGTTCTATAACGTCTGGTCCTTTGCTGATTCATTTTGGCCCGTGGAGCTACTCCATCTAATAAATATCAACATATAACACAAACAAAACTTGCATTGTTGAGTTATTTGTTGAAACAAATAGTATCATCGTGTAGGGTTAGTCCGGGACTCACCGATAGCCATGTAGAGTAGCTTGCGAGGTTTAACAATGGCAACAAGGTGATCAATGTAGTCAAATATATTTGCAAACACTTCCACAAATGTTGTTGGAGGAGAAGTCTGAAAGACATTAAGAATAATAAGTTGAAGGAAGATATAATACAAGTAGTGAAAGAGAGAGTGAGTGTAACTAACGTAGATGTTATCATCGTTGGGATGAAAACATGGGTGGATAATGGAGTTCATGTCAAGATAAAGATGATCATATTCCACAGTTGGAGTAGTGTTGGTGTTTGCATCTTCAATGACTTCAGGATATTTGTTGATTAACCATCTATAAAACGCTGGTACACCCATAGCTTCTGAATATAGATAGTGATAGTGTATTTTGTGTCACAGAGATAAGATTATTTGTACTAGAGTGATGTGAGAAAATGAAGAGACAGAAGAACAATCTATTCTCGAGCATGCCAAAGATTACTCATAATTGAAGTTATTAAAGATTTATGACAAATAGTAACAACGTGTGTTTGATGGTTTGGTGAAGTACTGAACCAATCCAATATAGTTGGAGGAGAAGGAAACCAAAAAGTAGCATAGAAAATCGACACTTTTGTTTTCTCATCATTAGCATCTCTGTGTGCGCGGCTCGATGTCACCTTTTCGAAAACTTAACCAAAAATCTTCTAAGCTTTTGTTTATACTTTCTATTTTATGTAATCAATTTATTTAAGTGTGCAATTGGTGAATTTTTTTTAGTGTCTTACACTCTTTTTACATATTAAATTCTAATATACCATCATCTTCAATCAATAATCTCAATTTACCCTTTTATCAAACAAATTTTTTTTTGTCACAATACATCCGTCAATTGAATGGGCGGAAGAGTGATAACTTTTTCCAATCTGCTGAAGTATTGGGCGGAAGCTTTAAAAATTAGAGAGAGTCCGCCCATTAGATGGGCGGAAGAGTGTTAACGTAATTTTTTTTTTAAATTAAGTTGCTATAATTAAATAAAATACATTATAATTAAACAAAATACACTGTAATTAAATAAAATATACTATAATTAAACAAAAATTTCACTAATTTACTTAAATTAATTTTTTTCATTTTTAAATTATATAATTTCACTATAATTAAACAAAGATTCAATAGAGAAGATACATCTACTGTCGATTTTGACCGGGTCGTGTCAATATTGGTGAGTTCCACAAGCAGGTGTTCATCTAGTACGTTGGTCTGTTCTGCGATTTCCTTCTTCATTTTGTGGTTGAGTTGAAGGTCCCGCGTCACATCCGTCCATTAAAAATTCATCAATCATGTCCTCATTGGTATAGTCTGTCTCGGCTGCACTGCCATAACTTAATTTGGTTCCCTCCCAATTCTAATTTGGTATGGGATTAGAAGACATTGGACTATTTATTAAGGATTGGTAACAATCTTGGGAGGTAAATTGTTGTGGCCGGGAAATATGCATTTGTTGTTGGGGTGTCTGATAGTTGGGATTATGTGGAGTTTGTAGTGTTAATGATGTTTGTGGTAGACTGGTTGATGTTGACTGGGTAAGATGTGAGTATTGTTGTTGGGTGCCCCATTGGGTGGGGTTAGATGAAGGATATTGTTGTTGGGTGCCCCATTGGGTGGGGTTAGATGAAGGATATTGTTGTTGGGTGCTCCATTGGGTGAGGTTAGATGAAGGGTTTTGTTGATGATATTGTTGGCTTGGGGTAAAAGGTGGTTGTGTTGGGAAGAAAGGTTGTTGCGTAAAAGATGGTTGTGTTGGAAAGAAAGGTTATTGATTGCTCATGAATGGTTGTTGGGTGTAAGTGCTTGATGGTGGTATGGTGTGTTGGACGTTTGAAGATGTTGGCAAATTACGAGGGTCAACTAAGAAGTTGTTTGGTGACAGATACAAATTTGTAACAGACCTATACCATTCCATGTATTCTTTACTCGGTTTACATTCTTCTGACATGACATCTCCTTGTAAGATTTTATCTTCGCGGTTATGCCATTGACGACGCTCCTGTTTGTAACAATCTTTCCAATTGCTATATGCTCATTGGTCGTTCACCACACTTTTGTGATACTCCTCCATGCACTGTGGAGCATCCGGTATGCCTTGCATAATGCCAAATTGGAGTTTTACCCGATCAGAATGATGCATTCAACTGTAGTAAAACAGATGATAAATGTTTTTGCACTCCACACGTGACTATCAGTTGGATTGGTATCATCAAATCCTAGATAGGGTCTCCATGTAAACTGTTAAAAAATCAGTTATTAGTTTAACGAACTATATAAAATAATAGTAATTATTAGTAATCTATGGTTAAGAATATTACATCAGCTTCTTCGAAATGATCGATGAAAGTTCGATAGCCAGGTGCATATGATGAGGAGTCTTTTCGCAATCCATTCCATAGGCATACCATCTAAAAATAAATAATACTTAAATATTGTTTACATAGTAAATAAGTTTAAGACAAAGGAGTAGTTTCAACTTACTTGGTTGCGTACGAAAAGTGAAAAGGATTACGATTCCTAGGCGCTAGATTCGGCATCTTGGACCATCCCCAAGCTTGTAGTAGTGTTGAACAACCAGCAAAGTTATGAACATCTTTTCTAGCGCATCTACAAAGGTTTCTGTATATATGCGATGAAACTGCAGATCTCCAGTTATATCTACCTATTTTATTAAAGTCAGCTAATAATGGTAAATACATAAGATGTATTGTGTTACCATTAGTGTCAGGAAATAATAAACTAGCGAAAAGCAATAAAATATAAATTCTAGTTTTCTTATGAATTTGTTCGATGGTGGAATCTTCGTTCAAGTCAAATGCATCATATTTTTCCCGGAGCCAAGTAATTTTGACGAATTGACCCTTTCTAGCTCTTTCGGGCAATTCTTCACCCAAGAGTTCTTGAGTTATGGAGTAGTTGACATTTGTTCTCCCATTCACTGCCACATCGTTTACACGTAAACCCATCAACATGTGGACATCTTCAAGGGTGATTGTGGATTCATCGGTAGGAAGATGAAATGTGTGTGTCTCCGGACGCCATTTTCACATAAAGCGAGAATAAATTTTCTATCAACACCATATAACGTTATGTTGATAACGTGCCCAAAGCCCGCTTGCATCAGATATGGACAAATTATTTCGTCTACGGGCACATACGAGTGTGTACGAGGCCTAAACTTTTTCTCATTCTAAAAAAGAAAATAGTTAATATTAGAAGATGATTAATGTCAGAAGTATATTCTAAAAATTTAAAAAAACTTTATAAGTAAATATATTCAATACTTACATATTGGAGTATGTTTGACAATGTTCCTCGATGCTCCTCTCCATAAGTTAACAGAGACATTATAGAAATTGAGTTTGGTGTAGAATTATGATGAGAAAGAGCGGATAAAGATTGAGTTTGATGTAAATTATGAAAAAATGAATAGTATTTATAGAGAAAAAATGAATGGTTTTATGCAAAATATTTAATGGAAACAAGTAAATGGTTGGGAGTAATAAATTTGCCATGCATGCTTTGTACGTAGACTGTGTTGCATGCACAACTTTACAGAATCCACACCCTCAATGGGCGGAACCATTGTCTTTTTCTGACACGCCGCTGATGCTTTGGGCGGATGCATTGCTTTTTGGTCTGCCATCCGCGTAAATAATGTGCGGAAGAGTGTTATTTGACCTGCCAATGACGCAGGTGCATTGGGCGGAGCCCTTACCCACATCAATGCTTCCGTCTTCTTATTGGGCGGAGCCTTTACACACATAAATGCTACCGCATCTGCAATGGGCGGATGGGTTGCTTTTGTCAGTTTGACCATTGAACAGTCAATATTCCTACGTTTAAATATTATTATATGTTTACAAAAGACAAAATATATATCATTTAAATTCAGTTCTTGTTCCTACAATTTTTCATCAACTCAACCCATTTCAAAAACAAATATTTCCTACAATTCAGCTCTTGTTCACAAAGAAATCATCATGTCTCAAACACCTCAATATGTAGTGGATGCTCATTACAATGGAGAGATCCTTGTCTCTGATGATATGGGCATTATATTCGAAAATACCGATATATACCAGTTCAAATTAAGTAGAAATGCGAAGTTCGAATATTTGAGAGAGAGGATAGAAACAAGGATGCAATCTGGAGCTGTCACACAAATTATATATCGAAATGCTGTTAATTTCAGTGTGAACCAGGTGAAATATGTTCCATTGAAAATCCGAGATGATGATGATGTGGAAACGATGTTTTACAATCATGAATTATCTGGGTTACATGCGATGGATTTATATATAAAATTTCAAATTTGCCAACAATCTCAAATCTCATAAGTGGCCAATCCCACTGAGGTTGAGCCCGTCTCCATAATTCCCAACGAAGTCGTTGTCGAAGATGACGAAGAAGAATAGACTGAGTCACAAGATGATGATTTGTTCACTACCTTATTCGAAGACGGTGGCCGTGACGAGGTGGATGCAATCAATGAAACTGAACAACACATTCCACTTGAGAATGTCTATTATCCACCTGGCCACATGACCACTCTGGGAATAACTAGAGACGAATCATCATTTAAATGGCCCCACAATCCTTGTCTTCCGCTGGAGGATGACATAGTTATTGGGAACCAGTTCAAAAACAAATCTGACTGTGTGTTTACGATATCCAAGTATCATATGAAACATGTCGTTGATTTCAGGGTTACATGTTCTGACACGAAGAGATATAAAATTTGTTGTAATCGTAGTGGTTGCAACTTTCGTCTAGTGGCATCCTATAGGAAAAGGAGCGACCTATGGGAGATAGGAATCATGGAACCCCACATAATTGTTCAACAACCATCTTTAATCAGGATCATCTACAACTAAGCTCTTGACTGATGAGTGAATGAGTAATGCCTCTTGTTGAAAAGGATCCGTTGTACCCCAAAATTTTCCCTCCCATTTCATCAACATTTCTCATCACAAGACTCTTGGAACTCAAGATCAAGCTAAGGTTTGCTCTGTTCAAGACACCTCCTTGCACTGTTGACCTAAATTAGGGTTTGAGTTTGCACAGGGATGTTTTGACCCACAATGCCCAAAATGACTTTCATACTCCATGTTGGACTCACAAGTTGGTCCATACCAAGTTTCAAGCCTTGAATCAAATTTTTGCCCAGTCAATTGGACAGTTGACATAGAAATCAACTGTATTGGGGGAAAAGTCAACTGTGGCCAATTGACAGTCAAATCTCATGAATTTTGACCCACATCAACATTATGAGCTCACATGAACCATTTGGTCAAGTTTGGATCACAATTCCATAAGAAATTTGA